ATATATTTAATGTTTTATATTTTAAGTCTTAAGAGGAGTATATAAGTAAATTTAAGTTAAGACATAAATCTTAAAAAAAGTTTATATTTATTATTGATAATAGTTAACGAAAAATTATTGCTATAAATAAATAAAAGAAAAATATATTAAAATTTATAGCACTTACAATTTTATTACAATATGTTTAAAAAAATATTAATCCAAAAAATAAATCTATGAAATATACAAATATATACTAAAATATTCTTTTATATACATTAATATCTTTCCAAATACAATATAACTATCAGTTTTATTTGCCTGTAGCATTTCCACATTTGAAATATTAATACGCGTATAGGTTTTTGAAATTGGATATTATTTATTCCTCACATTTCGCCGTACTAACAGAACAGTATCACATCTTTTGTATAAAACGATTTGACAAGTGTACCTTACTTTTCCTTATCGCTCATATAGCGTCATAGATATTCTAATCGAAAACCCTTTTTAATCTTGCTTAACTCCATGTGGTTAAAGTTTATTACATAGAATTTAGGTTTTTTTCTTCAGAAGTCACGCAACCGCTCATTGCGTTGAGTACACCATGAAGTTAATATAAAATAATTTTTGAACAGTTTAAAAAAAAACTAGTTTCTTAGTTTTCGATGAGACTAGTGATTATTCTTGTTTACCCAAAATAATCATCATTCGAGTGAAATAAGCACTGTAAACGAACTTTTTCTAAAACTTATTTATACTCAACGGACTGAATCGACTTTTGAATGACTGAAATGATATTAAAAGGAGTATATTTTACTGTCTGTATTAGTATTTGGAATAGCCAGAAATTCCGGTGATAAAATCGTTTCAATATTAAGGATAATCGCTCAATTGATGCCTTTTTTAAATGATAAATTTATGTACCTTGATGTCTTTGTGCAATTGTGCATAAGCATAAATCAAAATATCCTCGTTATTTTTGTCGAACTCGTTGATTTCTCGCTCACAATCGTTGTAGTACTTCCTGATAGTATTATGCGTTCACCATTCCTAGTAAATTCATAAATAAATTGATTATAAACAATTTCCTTTGAATGAAAGAAAATGGTTAATATTATTTTGACTTCTTGCAAAAATTCAATTTTCTGTGGTTTGGCTGTGATCATTGCAATGCTGAACTTACTAATCATTTTAGTGATTCATCAAAGTGTATGGTTCAAAGTAAACATAAACCATCGTTATCGGAATTCTTAAGTCAAACAGTGTGTGCTGTGTTTTCAATATTCCCACAGTCATTTCGAAATATTTGTTACTTTCTCAAAACCTCAGTCCAATGGGACTCAATAAGTCCCATTGGAAGTAAGACAGACTGTAAATACATAGTCTACTTTTTGCTACCACTTCTAAAAAATACCGAAGATGTTCATAAATCTTTACATAGCTACAATACTGATATACACATTCCTTACTAATCACATCAAGCTACATGAGTACTATAGTAAAATACTACAAAACTTTAGATAAATAGTTTCAAAAAAAATAATTACAAACTACTGCATAGGAAAGACCGCATTGTTTAGCTGAAATTATGCTGATGTAAATTACTATAAAAAGTAATTGAAATTAAAATATATAGCTTTGCATTTGATACGATTAACGTGCTAATTTGATGAAATACATAATTACATATTTCGTTCAAGATAATTTGTTTAACTACCTCATACGAGCAAAAACACATTTGTAGATACAACAAATTACAAACTTAAATCATTAATTGAATTTTTTTTATTTTGTTTTTTTTTTCTGTTTTGTAAATTTTTTTGTTATGCCAAAGATTTAGAAATAACTTAAATGCGATATGCTTTCAAATTTGCTTAAGTATCTTTTTTACTTATTTTTAATTTATATTTACTTAAATGCTGAAATAATGAGATCTTTGTTTTTAATTAATCATTTTAAAGGTCAAAATACTTAAGTATTGTTATATATATTTTTTTTTATAAACTAAATTTTCTTATACTTTATGATCCAAGACAAAAACCGAGAAAAAGCGAAAATCTGTAATACCTCAAGCATATATTAATTCTTTTTTACCTAAATACACCTAAATACCATAATGTCTTTAAATATATAGGTATATATATAAAAATATATATTTTAAGTGCTTTAATGAAGCACACTTCGCGTCTAAATAAGTTAACCAACCAACTTTCTTAACGTCTAAATGTGTAATCCAATTTGTCCGAGCGCAATTAGATTAGATACAAGACAAAAATAGTGAGCAATTATGTTCAGTCGTTTAAACTTCTTACCTACATTTGGCCTTACTTGAAATGCCTACAAATAAAATAATATTTACAATTTTAATTTCAGTCACAAATATCTTTTATCTAAAAATTAATGAACATGGCTGTGCGTGAGTAAAGATTTTTCATACATAAGTAGAAAACGGCAACGCACTTCTGTGTAGTACGAGTATCTCACAAGACCGACCTGGGTAATGTGCAATAAAACGCTTATAACGTGTTTCTTTTATGTCTTTAGTATCTATTGGTAATTCTTTTAATTTTTTTATGCTTTATTTTATATATATTACAAATTGTTTTATTTACTTGAGTTTGTTTTTTGTTTTTTTGGCATTTTCATTAATTTAGTTTTGTGTGTCATATGACCATATGGGTAAATTACATTATTTCTTGGTACTACTGTGCGTATGCGTAAAAAACAAAATTTATAACCATAAGAAAAATATTTGACAGACAACTCAAGGTAATCAACGCATCTTCAACAAAGATTTATTGCATTTTAATGTTCGTTTATTACCTATTCTATGTCATTATGTTTCCAACTAGTTTTTTAATATTATATTTCGTTTAAATGTTTATTAAGATAAGAACACTGAAGCATATATAAAATTTTATTAAATAGCATTGTAAATTAAATGGTGAGTTTTATTCGTACATTGAAATGATGTTGAAACTAGCAATAATTTATAATGTTTCGTAAGTTAATCCTTCAACGTCAATTGTGCAATATATTTATGAAAAGAGTATGGACTTTATTGGCGGACATGTTAATACAAAACTCTTCTACCACTCATATCCTGAGAATGCTTTAAAATTATAAGTTTAGGTTATAATTTGATAAATTGAGAGATAGTGTAGATGTAATGAAGTATCAATTAGTCCCTTCATCGAGATGTACGAATCAGTAGTTAATCCGGACTATAAGATATATAATTTGAATTTTACATTTTTAAAATCCGTTCAGAACTCTCTCAAATTCCGATTATCAGAGTTTCAGTACTGGAGGTCCGGATTACCGTTGATTACAAGAATTACAAAAGCTCTACTGTATATCTAAGATTATGATTATTGTAATGAATGGGATTTATGATGATAAATAACTAATACTACGTTTACATTGTGAGATTAAGAAGAGAACAATATTAAGTGAATCTGTATTATTAATCCCCACCGTTTACATTTTGTTTCGTGTGTTTGACAAAAGTTTCAAAATCAATTAGTAATAAAAAAATTTGTGGAAATAGTGTTTAAACCTCAAGGAGCTTTTAAACGTAATTACTTTGAAGTCAATAATTAAATAAAGAACTATTTTTCGAATAATATTCCAACAGATTTCATTATTAGCACTTTTCGAATTTATTACGAGGAATAAATTTTACCTCAATATGTACTTTACTCACTTTATAAGAACTCTGATACGTAAACATATACAAGATAGAACATATTATTTTATAACCATATTCGCAATAAATTTTTGTCTTCAACTCTGCCAAAGATCATTACACTTTCAGATTATGAACAAGTATATCATAAATCTATATATTGTATATATTGTAGATTAAACTTGATAAATAAACTGTCAAATATTTGTATGAAATGCTTATAAGAATGCTATTATAAGATTAGATTTAAGGTTTGTGATTCGATTGTGAATATATCTACCACAAATAAATAAGGAGATTAAAAAGTTTCCATTATAAAGTAAGCTAAGTTAATAATAATAAATTAATTATGCTTTTAAATAAAACCAAGTTTTTAGTATCGTGTAGTTGCTTTAATAGCCCAAAAGAGCTACTAAAGCCAAACGGGACTTTTCCAGAGAAACAAGTTGATGTCCCTTTGGCGATCGAATAATATCGCATGATTCTGACGTTAGTCATGTTATCTTAAGGAAAGTTGCTTTAACATAGACGTTCGCAGAATTTTTAAGTGTGGGTATTTATAAATACTCTTTTGTTCGCGGAAATACTAGTAATTTATAGTTCTATAGTTCCAGATCGCCGTGGATATATAGCGAATCAGCTATGACTTACTCTAGAGTTATACTAATTTCTCTATGTATATGTAGAATATTCAATATCTCTTAACTAATTTTTAATTCTATCAGGTGTGTTAAATGATGACTCATTGAATACTATTATCGTTGGTATAACTGCCACTATTTATAATATTTTGTATACTGTAATTACGTTAAACTTTAATTAGACGATCTGTTAAAGTATATCAATTACTAGCTTTTCTTTTCTATATTTATTTCTATTGGAGCCAATGCACTTGAGCACTTTTACTCTTTCTTAACTCGAGGTATTTTTAAAACCCCTCTTTACGCCTTGACTGGATTATTGTTTATCACTTCATCAGACTAAGCAATAATTAACCTCAGATCTGCATACCTCCCCGAGGAGCTTGTAACCATTCTGAGATTTAATAATGCGTTGTTGGTAAGTCTGTCTTTTCTAGTTTACAAATATACTTTTCAGCTCATAGCTCATAAAGGAAAAAGTGTCCACCCACCCACTTCCGGTAATTTATATATTTACTAAAATTTTAAACAAATATATTTGATGGTTTAGTAATACTTTTACTCCTTTCTTTATTTTTTCTTCATTGGAATATTGTCTGTGCATGCAATCTCGTACTAATCAATGTATTTAAACAATTTAAATATAAGATATAATTAAGTAAATGCTTTTATTAATTTCTTTAACTTACCTGTTATAAGTAAATAACCCAAAATTATGAATAATAAAAATGATATCCTATGCCGCAACATGTCGAATTAATTATATGCAATGTTTTGTGCTCCTTGCACCGAAGTAATTAAGGAAATTAAATAAATTTGTTATAGCTGCTATAATTTAACACAATTAAATGCACTTTTAATGGAAAATCGCAATCTCAGCACAAACAACAACACTAAGTATATAATTTGTTTCAATTTAAATAATTTTTATTTTGTTGCACAAACTTTATACAAAAAAAAAAAAAAAATACTATAGAAAATTTTGGAAGAATTGTACAATATTTGAGTCAATGACTGACTTGTGGTGGGTCTCTCGTAGTTTTGTAGTTTTCGTTGTAAAATATAAAATTTCGTATATTGAAATCGTATTGTGGGGGCATAAAAATAAAAGAATTCGAAACAAAAAAAAGTTAGTGTAAAATTATGTTGGCGCAACGTACATAGATGGAGATCGAGTATATATTATGCAATGGAGCAGTTTTTAACTAAATTTTAGGTTAACGTTTAATTTAGTTTGTCTTGTTTTTGTCTATTTTTTTTTTATACAACCAAGATTTTGTTATTATGTCTTGGCTTATGTTGTATACTCAAAACATATAGGCTCTATTACTGAAAACATCGAATGGACTTGGTGTGGCAAGATGAGTAAATACTTGACGTTGAAAGTGGTAGCTGTGTGATGTTTATTACTAAAATAATTTATATTCCTCTTTTTTGTTTAGCTTTGTTTTTTGTATATTTTAAAATATTTAAAATATTAATAAATATTGCAACAGTTAAGTGAGCAATTGCGACCTTTAAATTGAGTATCACTTTCAGTAACGCACGCGCACTTCCACAAGGTAAATTGGTTATTCAAGTTGCTACTACATGCGTCATTTGATATTTAAACGCTTATATATATATGTATTGATAAAAAAATGTATTTATTAGTAATTAATTACCGCTGCCGCTTCTCTATATAGTATACATACTTTACACTTGAACTGTTATCAGTTAAAAAGTAGTTAGCTTTCAATTACAATGTTTTTATTTTCATTTTATATATTTTTAATTTTGATTTCAATTTTTTATATGCAAATGATTAAATTTCATTAATTTTACGTATTTTTGTAATTTTACAGTTGTTAATTTTATGGTTGCAATTTTAATGTAATAAAATCTTAGTTACGCTCTGCGGTTCCTGTGTTTAACAGCCGTGTTACCGCTGTTACAGTAATTTTGTTGCAACTTGCAATTTTAGCCACACCAAAAAATTTTAAATTTTTTCTTATTACATACAAAAGCTCATTTGAAAAAAATGCTTATAGTATATGTTAATATTAAATTTGCATGTCACGACGATTTGGCTGCAACGAGATGTGGCCAATATATAAGAGCAGTCGGCACCAAAAAAAAAAACTGATACACTTTGTGTTGCACTTAGTATTTAACAGAATTATGGCAACGAATTTTAGATTAATTAAATGCACTAAATTTTTTTACCTCAAATCGTGATGGTAAAAAACTATTTTAATTGTTTGTTATAATTAATAATTTTTTTTTATACAGTTTAAAGTCAATTTATTTATTTTTTAATAGTAATTAAATTAAATTAATACTTTTTCATAATTTTATTTTAGTTAAAATTAAATTTCAAAACTTTTTTTGAAAATTATTTATTATTATTAATGTTTTCCTTTATACAGCTTAAAGTCAATTTATTTATTTTTTAATAGTAATTAAATTAAAATAATATTTTTTCAAATTTTTATTTTAGTTGACATTAAATTTCAAAACTTTTTTTGAAAATTATTTATTATTATTAATTTTTTTTATACAGTTTAAAGTCGATTTATTTATTTTTTAATAGTAATTAAATCTAATAAATATTTTTTCAAAATTTTATTTTAGTTCAAATTAAATCTCAAAAACTTTTTTTGAGAATTATTTATTATTATTAATGTTTTTTTTATACAGTTTAAAGTCGATTTACTTAATTTTTTAATAGTAATTAAAATTAAATCAAAATAATACTTTTTTATTTTTTATTTAAGTTAAAAGTTATAAATTCTTCTAAATTTTTATTTATTATAAAAGATGCATTCGTATTTTGTGTAAAATTTATTTTGCAGTTCAAGACAAGAGTTCATTACACTACAATCTTTAATATATATTTTTCCAAGCACTTAATAATATATTTATTTATTAGATGCAGTTTATGTATTGGATAATTGTATGCGCTTAAAATAATTTAAATATTGATGTTATTAACATGTTCCGAATTAATCATTCCGTAATACATTTAAATCTTTCTTTACAAAATTTTGTGTCTATAAAAGCTTAAAATTGTAGTATTGATGTAATTAACATGCTCTGTATTAATCCTTCCGTTTACAAATAAATTTAATAATAGTTTTTAGATTACTTTACGAGACTATTTTCATATTCGCTTAAAATAATAGTATTATTGTGATATTATTTACTTGTTCGTATTGTTCCTTCCGTTTATATACACAACACAGACTATTAGTTATAAACTTTCATTATAAACTTAGAATTTAATTTAAAATTGTGTTATTCATATTAACGTACACCGAATAATCTAATAATCTTTTTGAAGTTTTATAACATATTTTTTTTAGAATTTTGTGCATTAATCAATTTCTTTTTAATATAATTATAATATACCACAATTTAATTTTTAACTAATAGATATGATTTTTTAATCGTTTATTAATTTAAAATACTTGCTTTTAATTATTAGTGAATTTAATATATTTATTTTTTAATTATTAGTTAATTTGAAATATTTTTTTTAATTATTTACTAATTTTAAATATTTTTTTATTACACGAGTATACAACTTTTAAATATTTTTTGAAATTGATTTATTACTAAAATACTTGTTATTTTATTATATAGTTTTATGATTTTTTTTTAAATTACTTTAAAATAGTTTTACTAGTTTTCAAAGTTCCATAAAAATATCACCATTTACCGCTTCCAAACTGAACGCTACCAGATCCGTTCGATAACCGAACACAAACTGTTTGTTTGTTGCCATCAAAAATGCTTTCAGCTCACATTAATGTTGACTTTATTTTCAACTTAACTTAATCCTACATTCAATTTTCCCTAACTTAGCTTAATTTAAGTTCCGCTCAAAGCTTGAGCTACAAATTAAGCTCACTAAAGATCTTCACATTGAGCAAAGACTCAATTTCAGCATCGTCAGTGTGGCAGTTGAGTTTTACTTTTATTTGTATGAGCTTTGGTCGTACTTCCAAAATGTTATTAGACAAGTATTATTGCAACTCGTAGAGGTGCATGCTTAGTTTTTTTTATGGCTTTTTGAAAACTTACTGGCAGTAAGTTTATTTTATAAATATATTTATATAAATTTATTCGTAGATTTAAAAGACGTGAGGAAATCATATAACCTATTTAACCCCATATCAGCATTGTTATGAATTTTTTTTTATTTGAGGGTCATTGGCTTAATTATCTGCACAAAAAGCTCTGTTGAAAGGGTCAAATATAATAAATTGCAACAATAACAAAATATTTTATGTATAAAAAAATATTTACACTTATTTATTTAGTAGAATTTTCAAATTATTTAAAAAATATATATATAGGTATATCTTAAATGATTTGCTAAACTAACGTATTATTTATTCAGATTGATTAACAGTGAGGTTTAACTACTTTAGACAATTCTAAACACTAAAAGGTGTGTAACTTACTACTATTTTTATTATTTATAATAAAAGTATTAATAATTTTTAGTATTATAATTATAATTATTATAATGTCACTAAGGTGTGATTACAGAAAGTTTCAATTGGTAAGTATTTTATATTTTTACCCAAGAAGTTTGTAAAATAATTTCGTAAGCTTCTTTGTCCTTACATACAAGGTTTTGAAAGAAACTATTCTTTTTTTTGAGTAAAAGTTCTTTTGTCACACCTATGAAGCAGTTGATTTAAATTTGTAAAGATAATTGATACAGAAGCATATGATTGAGAGAGCCTAAGTTCACCACAACCTATGTTTAAATAATGATTTATAACACAAAAGAAATTGATGGAATTCTCTTTATTATTTGTGGATCACATCGATCAATAAAATAATCTATTAATCTGGTGTTTTTGCAAAATAAAATAATGTTCTCATACATAGTTTAAACAGTTCAAACACTCTTGAAAAATACGGATTCGAAATCCATATAAAATACATATAAAATGTACTTCATCTTGTAAAGTATTTCCAGTTTGTAGAGTTATGAACATGTTTATAATCTCTGCTATTTAATTAATTTTCAATTCTGCTCAATAGAACATAATATAATTGTCGTATCAAAGATATACTGTGACTTGATTTGTGATAATTGTTTAAATTTAAAAAAATTTTTTTTTTTCACATAAGAAAATACAAATAATAAATTCCTCTTAACAAATTCTTCTAATAATTAAGGATTTTTAGGATGACTGAGTCAACGGTCAGTAATTACGTGTCATCAACGAAAACCAAGGCTCGTTCAAACCTTATGTCGTAGTTTCAGCATTCACAGGGTTTCTTTCGGAACAATGCTAACTTTAGCTATAATATAAAATCAATTTATGTTCTTAAACCAATAAATAAATAATTTTGTCATGAAGTCAAGTATCCATAGTTTTAATACCATTACGCTGTATCATTATACTATTTCACATAAAAAATTTTGCAAGTCACATCCGACATCTTTATATTAATCTATTAGCTTAAATTTTTTATATTATAAAATCAAATTTTTTTTCTGCAATATGTTTTCTTAATATCATCTAAATTCTTCGAATACTCCCCTGGTATTAATTTAGTACCATATAGTACATACATTGTGACCGAAAAGTTTCCTTTGCGTTTTAAATAAAACGCAAAATTCTTAATCTTCATCAATATTTATTTTATCTCCTTCAAAATATGCTCCATTAGAAGCGATACACAAATGCCAACGTTTCTTCCAATCATCAAAACATTTTTTATAGGCGCTTTCCGGTATGGCTTTGAGTTCCCTCTGCGAATTCTGTTTTACGTCTTCTATGGATTCAAAACGCGTTCCTCTGAGTGGTAATTTGAGGTTGGGAAACAGGAAAAAGTCACACGGTGCAAGATCAGGTGAATACGGTGGCTGTTCGATGGTATTTATTG